GGAGGGGGATGGATGGTGCAGAAAAATAAAAGAACATAAAATTGAAAATACAAAAAAAAGTAAAATTGGGGCAACTAAATAAATTTCTATATAAGTTGGGTTGATATACCTTTTTGTTTTGGGTGAGTTTCATGGGTATGGGTCAGAATGGGCTATAGAATATAATGGATTAATTTGGACTCAGCCCAAATTGACCCATGAACTAAGTTGTTTGTAACCCAACCCATTAATCTCTAGGCGAGTTGGACAGGTTAAATGGGTTTGGGCTCAAATTGCCACCCCTAGGCCTAAAACAAGGTAGAGCAATTTGGAGGTATATATATATATATATATATATATATATATTGGGTTTTTGTTCTTTTGTTGTTTTGCATTAAGTGGAACAAGGAATGGATGGTCAAGGTAAAAAGCTAGGAATAAATCCTTACATACATATAGACAACACAGGTAGGATATGAATTAATGCTCATTCATTGAATGTTTTGAAATTCCTTGTCACTAAAGTCGAATATGGAATATCTACCACTCTATCTTTCTTTAATTAATAAAGAATCTAGGCTTTTCATTTTGGCACCTTTTTCTCAAATTGATCCACTTTAGACTAACTTTTATTTTGTACTTTTCTACGGTCCATTTTAATTGATTTTTTTGCTATTTTCTCATATATTAAGGAATTCACCTTTTAACATTAATTTATAATGAAATAGACCATATTAATTTTAATTTATTCACTCGAAATATGACAAATACTCCAAAGCTCTTTATTACAAGTACAACTTTGAAAGAAAAAGTTAATTCCTTTTTAGTATCTGAAAAATTAAATATTATGAACCATAAAAAAAAAAAAATCAAAAATCGATTAAAGTGGATCTGAGGGAATATTGCCAACCAGTGCTAACTGTCCAACTGCCAAACTACCTGAATTTCCTCAAAAGAAAGTAGCCAAGAAAGTTCAAAGAGGAATCTAAATTACTGTTACAAATTCCAGAGACACGTCCATTTTAACGGAAGGGGGGGGGGGGGGTAAGGGGG